AAATCAAAAGTTATCCAAAACACAAATAATGCAAAACTAAATACGGTCTTTTACCGTGTGGGAATTTATCATCTAAAGTCCCTGATGTCAGCCTTTCAGAACCATCATTAGCGTCTTACATTATAATTGTTGCAATTCACGAAGGCGAGTGAGCTTTACATATGTGGTGGCACGCTACTGATTGTTTTTCAAGTTTTGGTAGACTTACACTATCGTTATGTGCATGTACCTACACCTACACACACAAGTAAAGCTCACTCGCCTTCGTGAGTTGCAAGAACTATACTCGATTATAAGAATTTACTCCCAATATATTACCCGTTACATAAATTCCCTTTTTACCAGGCACTTTTTTGTAAATAAAAACTGTAGCTTCGCGCTAAAAACGTTGCCCACGGGAATCGGTCCTTCCCAATGTACACTGATGTAAATTATGTAAAGGCGTGAGGCGAGTCACATTACGTACTCAGATATGTAATGTTTATACAAGGCTATTTCTCATCGTCACGGTTCTCATCGTCACCTTCGTGGCGAATTTTATTTCTAACTTATTTCAACTTTTTGTAAACAAAAATTGTAGCGCTTGATGTGAAGATTGTATTCTCAGTAAATCAGTAAAATAGTGAGTCTCGTTTGGAAGATTTAACGTTTTGAATTTTTTGATGCCACGAAAGTGACTCTGTACTTCACAGCAATAATTTTTTCAAACTTTACTACTGTAAATGACTCTTATAAAACATATATTTTGTCTTATTTTCATAGATAAACATTCATAGAACACACAAACATTCATAGAAAAGCAATAACATAATATAAATAGGCACCTACTTAAATACAAGATAAAATTTTACCGATTAGGTCACCTACTAAGTTACAAGATTCTACGCAATTGGTTTTAAGGGTGACACTGGTGGCATTCTGAAATGCTAAAGAAGCAAAAAACGGATTGTCAGTACCTAAATAAAAAGAACTCTAACTGATTACTGTGATTGGTTCCTGGTGTTCGGTTTAACGGCAATCTTGTATTATTACTCAAAATTTTAGGTACCTAAAATCGTGTGACCAACGTATTTCGCTTTCTCAATTCAAAATAATTATATGAAGATATTTTTTTGACTATTGTGTGGAAAGTATATTTAATTACGATGATTTTAGTATATGCTACACACAAATTGAATGAAAATTGTGAATGCAGTAACCAAATGTTTCATTGCAACCGAAGGTGTGACACGATGAGAACGCGAAAAATGACCCCGTTTTTTATCGTTTCATGTGATTTTTTCGTATTATTTTTGCTTCTATTACGATAAAATTTATTTTGTATGTAGCTAAATAGATATTTTATCATCTGATTTCAAAGGTATTGTTCTAACTTATACCGTTTATGAACTATTATTGTGTGACCATCAAATTTGAGTGTAAATGAGAAGTACCCACAAATAAACGCACTAATATATCATGTGGTAGCTACGTTTGGTGTATTGGTTCGAAACGGACTACTATTCCGGAGGTAGCGGGTTCGATTCCCGCACAGTACAAACATTTGTGTGCATGAACATATTTGTTTGTATTTTTTGTATTATTTGTATTTGGACTGGGTGTTTTCTATGTATAATAAGTGTGTATTTACAAAAAAAAAGTATTTTAGTATGTTTATATCCGTTATCTAGTACCCATAGTACAAGCTTTGCTTAGTTTGGGACTAGAAGCGCAGTGTAAAATGTCTAAGGATATTTATTTATAGAGAGTCAAGAGACTTTAACGCCCGTATTCACAAACGATGCTTGCTTAGGTAAGTGAAGCAACAAACTTCTTCCGCGACGGCGCAGCACGTGTCCTGCGTGCCGCTCGCAGGAGGTTGAACACGTAAAGACGCCTTCCTTGGTTTGGGGCTGCGCACTAAGCGAGCCGAATGCCGAGCAGGGAACGCGGACGAATGCTTGAGGCAAAACGCCGATAGTGGTGTCCCGCGTTCCCGACTCATATGGCTATTGAGGGCAACGTCAGGTTTTCAGTGAGTAGGCTCTGCCCTTCTGGCAGGGAGAACCCCACATAACCCACTTGCTGCCCCCGCGGCTGGTGGGTATACAAATTAATGTATTTCCCTTAAACTTCTTTTTTACTGGTATGTTGCAAAGGGTCATGCTCGTGCGTCAGCCTAGTTGATACTAAATGACTGATGATGATGATGATGCTTGGAACTCTTGGGGAATGGTGTCCCGGTGACTATACGAATTTTAAAGCAGTCACATTTTTCGCAGAATTAAATCTTACTATATAAAAATTGGACCGATTTATCTAATTCTTTTTTGTGGTGTTTAATAATGTCAGGAGAAGCTTTTTATGTAAGAAAAATTACCATAATTAACTTTTCTTAAAACAGAGTACCTCTGACGGAACAGCTATAATAAATATAGAAATTCAACTAATTTTAAACAGTCCCATTAGTCTAATACTCTATTGATAAACCTATCGATTGGTCATTCCCTCGGTCAAAGTTGGGAAGTTCATTACCTATTGAAAACCAATGTGACCTACTTTGCCGGCACATTACAGCTGGACAATCGAGATAGTTGGCCAACTCGTACACGAAGCTTACCTAAAGTTAGATCTACAAATAAGTCATAAATATAAGCGTTTGATAGATATCACGACATTTTAGTTGTCATAGAATATTAGGCGCGAGAGCCTATTTAGGTTAAAAGACGCCAACTTCTTTCCATAGCTACTCCTGAAAATCGAGTAAGTTTTTAATTGGCTTAAAATTCGACTTTTAATAGCTTCGTCTGCGTTAAAAAATAATATTTACCTTTACAGATTTACCTACAATGTTTCTTGCTCAGTCAACAGAGTAGTTTGTTGCTTGCAGGGGCAAGGAAAATATCTTGGACCTCATAGACATCGTATTAGCAAAAAACTCCGACTGTTATGGTATTTATTATACCAAACACATCACAACATACTAATAGTTTGTCAGCGTATGCCCCAATATAAGTTAGAATATTCGCTGGGTGCGAAGTACTAGGTGGGGGTAACATAATCGATCGCAGCGCTCATGGTGGTCAAAAGTAGAAATAATGTAAGCTCTGTCATCAGATGTATCTGTCAATGGCAAAGCGATTCTACATAATACATTTTAATATCATTAACTAATCGCATGAAAAGTGTCCTACTGGGAACTTAAATAAAAGAGTGGACTGTATTTCGATAGGGAAGGTTTAATAGCCGTTTACAATTTGGAAATAACTAGACTATACAACGTGGTAATACAAAAATGAGTCACAGTAGTTGTTGTGCACAGATGTTTGCCTTATGATGAGAGCGTGAATTATTGAACTCTGCCCTTGTTTTGTTCTTAATTCTTCTACATCTCGGACTTGTCCAGCCAATACCAACAACTTTCCTGTAAATACGGTTTGTGGTTGGAATTTGATATTGTAAAACTCACAAACCCGGTCTTCAAAACAATACTCATTTCGATCTGAAAACGATATTTAATTTATTACTAGCGATACAGGAACATTTAAATATATTTACTGTTATATAATGAAACCGTTAAAGTAGCTTTTTCTTTTTGTTTTACTGTAAAACTACAATTATAAATGATGTAAACAAACCCTGACACAATCAAAATTAAACACACTTTTTGAACTTACCTCATTTGATTTGAATGACCAAAATGATTTCAAAACCTTTTTTCCACCCAAATCGTGGTATCACAACAATTTATTAGTTGAAAATATTTGTTATTTTTTCATTTCGATATTTTTTCACAAATATACGACCTAAATGTCAATGTGACAGAGCCCACAAAGTTGTGGACGCTAGTTGGCGCTGTATCTAATCGTGCACAGAGCCAATACGGATGTATTTTTGTTACTCTTTCACGCAAAAACTACTGAATTGATTTTGATGAAACTTTAAAGTATTAGGCTGAGTTACACCACCTAACTTTGACCGTAACTATGACGATAACCGGTGTATTTTGTATGGAGTTTGACAGATTTTTGACGTTTGTCAAAGTTAAAGTAAGATGGTGCAACCCACCATAAGTATGAACTGTCCTATCGCCGTGTTCAGATTACTCAACAACATTCATGAAGTTCCGAAAACTGTATGTTGTCAACTTTTTTGGGGTAATATGAGGTTACAGTAACAGAAAAGAGAAAAATATAAAAGCCAAAAGATTAAAAACATTCGCCCTTCAATGACGAGAGAAACGGTAACCGGATTTGGCCTATTTTCACGGTTGCCATTGTTCTCCAGAAATATCTTGGCCATCTAAATATCTGGGTACCTTATGCTGGAAAAGCTGAATTATTAAAATAATACATAGATACCGTCCGCCATTGAGTCAATGCCGTCCGCTGGACTATTTTGAAAAACATAATTTATTTAAAATGCTATTCTTGATACAAGCATTTTACCGTTAAGCAGTTCGATTTTTTCAAGTTGTTTATTTAAAAGCATTTTATCTTTGCTAAAGGGGTACCGTTAGTAATTTGTGACTTAAAAATTAGTTTTTAATCTTATTTTTAATCTAAAATTTACCCTCTGGGGGATTCCAGTCTGCAACCGTAGCTAGTGCTGTAATGTCAACTACAAGACCCGGTTTCCATCAAGGCGGAGCAGAGTGGAGCGTAGCGGAGAAGCATTTGAATAACCAATCAGATTTCATTATTTCCATTTCTCCTCTCCGCTCGGCGCAGCTCCAGTCCGCACCTCACCGTCGCGTGTCGCTATCAAATTCTATAGAAAAATTAGTCCGCCCGACACTTCTCCGCTCTCCGCTCCGCTCTGCCATGGTGGAAATCGGGCCTAAACCAGACGTCTATCAAAAATGCTTCTTCCAATGACATTTGCAAAGGTTTTAATAATTCACCCTTTTCTCTGCCATGTTGGAAACCGGGCCTAAACCAGACGTTCTGAAATCTGTCAAAAAATTCTTCTTCCAATGAATCTGCAAAGGTTTAAAAAGTACTTTTTTATTATTTTGTCAGGTAACGGCTACATCGAAGGCACCGAGCTGGACGGTTTCCTCAGAGAATTTGTCTCCAGTGCCAACTTCACCGACATCAGTCCGGACGTGAGTATGCTTTTAAATCCTTCTTTCGTCTTGGACTAAAGAGAATAGAGATTTTAGTACATTCCAGAAAAGTTGACCCAATTGTCCATCTTTTTATAGCATTCCATAATAATATATCCATCTGCCTGCTTAAGAGTAAAAATATGGCTCTATAATTCGATTCGAACAAAGTGAAAACTATGGAACCATTAAAATATTAAAGCGCAATCACTTAAACATGAATCACTTGCTACCTACTAAAACATGTAGGTACCTACAGTCTCGAAAAACAAAACATTTTGTCCGATTCAAAATTGAGTTAATTCTGGTGGCCTATTAATATAATATTTTTAAGGGAATTAAACACACATCATGTTTACTGAGTCGCTGTTACTATCACATTATATCCTATAGGACTCCATTGAACTAGAACAGCCGCAATATATTTTAAGAATCTTCGGGTTTCCAATATTTCACATGCCATTCGTTGGATCCCTCTGTGGGTAGCTAGAGATTTCTAATCGAATCCCCCGGCTAAGGCAGTCAATCTTCTTGTCAGTCGTAGCTGAAAGTCGCCGGGGTTCTACTCTGGAAAACATTTTCGATATAATTGAGATCTGTCTCTATGACTCTTAGACTGAGTTGCACCATCTTACTTTAACGTTAACAAACGTCAATAATCTGTCAAACTCCACCGGTTATAGTTAGATGGTACCTACAACTCAAACTCAGCCTTGATAGCTAATAGCTACCTACTTTAATTATAGTTCTGTACTAACATTACGATATGAATAAATGAATAAGAATAAGAATTTACGAATACGGTGTGGCTGCTCTATTGAACTCTTCTGTGGTTTATATTTTAAAGAGTTTCTTCTTCTCTTCCTCCCTCCCTCCCTCTCTCTTCTCTCTCTGTCAGAGTTTTGATATTTAAGGTCCTGGGTTTGATACAAGCAGATTAAAAAATCACATAGGTACTGTTCCCAGTTTACAAATGATATGAAAAGCTCAAATTGATTTAATTTCAGAAAATAAAGCCTACTTCGGAGGGCAAGTAATTGTCGGCTCATGAAGTCACATTGTGTATGACGTTATCAACTTAAATTTGGAATTGTTACAACTTAAGAGTGTGCGACACAAATCGAGTGAATCGTATCGAAGGTTGCCAGAGTAGGGTCTTTATTGTTCGCTGCTGTCACTCATCATTACGAAGGCTCCAAAGCTCCAAGTTTGGAAAGTCTGCGTTCAGTTTATTTGAGGAAAACTTTGCGAAGATATTTGTTTCTATACTTGTTATTTGTTTGGGCCTTTGAAACGACGACGTGATAATCTTACCATCTCAGCAATATAGAAAGAAAAATGTTTTATTCAGTGACAAATCAGCAACATAAGCATAATAACCAATACTTACTTAAAATAAAAACATAACCTCACTTTACCACATACTTATACAAGCTTGATTTGGTTTTTTTAAAGTTCTAAAACATTATTCTCTACTGCCATCTGGTGGCACGGTAAGAAATTAAAAATTAATTTTACTCGTATAAATTTTCGATCTATTCGGTTTTCCTCAATCGGAGATGTAGGTAAGTGGAATGGAATTAATAATCAACGTTTCGTGGAACTTCTTAAGCGAATTTTCAAACACTTTAACAACAAAAACATAGAAACTTTCTTAATTCAACATTCAAAATCTTAGCTAAACCCTCTCGTTCAATTTTACACTTCTACGAATGCATCTAAATAAATAATGATACTTTATTAATCGATTTTATTTTATTAATTAGGTTTTGTAAGCAGAATAATGTCAAAATAAGCAGCAAGACAACAAAAAAGTTAAGACATATCTCAAAGCCCCCCAAAAGAAAGTTAATTAACTCCTAACAAAAATAAGTATAGGTTTATATTTCGCTTCTACGATTATTACGTTCACCTGCAAACAACTTTTCCGACGCTTTCCTCTTTGCTTTGCCATAACTTTGCTTAAACTCGCGCTGTCTCTTACCATTTCATAGCTAAGAAAAGGATGGCAATACCTGAGCTGTCAAATACAGATTTGACATTAATTTGAAAGAGAAAGTTTCAGATTCATTAAATTAAGTAAATAGAGACACGGCTCCCGGTTCATTCTGTAGATCTTTTCCAAGCAGACTCGTTAAGTTTAATTATTGCATAATATTTACAGTGAAAACTTCTATCTTCAACGTAAGTAAGTTTTTATTTATCTTTTGTTTCAAATGAATGCCACAAATCAGAAGTTTGGCTGACATTTGACCGTCACAAAATAACTTTCCCGTGCCGCTCCAATATAGATGACCCACGCTGAATTGTCCCACCAAACTCAATGACAGGGGGGCGCTACCATCGTTCAACTACAGGGTGTTTGGTAAATGGGTATATGAGCCGACACTAGCCCATGTTAACATGGGCATATAAATGGTATGGTGAAGTCAGAAATTTGATATCATCATTTTAATTTTTTAAATTTTCATACAAAAAATAATAATGAAATCCGATTTGTATCAAAATTAAAATAATTAAAATGAAGANTGGTGAAGTCAGAAATTTGATATCATCATTTTAATTTTTTAAATTTTCATACAAAAAATAATAATGAAATCCGATTTGTATCAAAATTAAAATAATTAAAATGAAGATATCAATTTTCTGACTTCACCATACCATTTATATGCCCATGTTAACATGGGCTAGTGTCGGCTCATATACCCATTTACCTAACACCCTGTATATGATTTCCAACATGGCAAAAATCGGAACCAGATATCCGGTATTGACGGTGGCGCCTCACTGTCAATGTCATGGATAGGACAGTTCAGTATTTTGGAACTATACATCAGACACTGACTGATGTTAGTACTACGCCAAAGGTTGTGGTTTTCAATGGGCACTTTCAATACAAATATTTATGTGCTTAATTCTGTTTGTATTATAGTCTGGATGTTTTCTTATGTTTATTCCTCTTAGTTTTTTGTACATATTTATAAAAATAAAAGAAGTATTCATGTATGATTATTTATACAAGTTTATTTATGTAATATCTGTAGTCGGTACCCGGAGGCTTTATTTATTTAGGATTTGGGACATGATATCAAAAATTAGTAATAATAAGTCTACATAATTAAGATCATTATTGTTATTCAAACATTTCAATAAAAGTAACTGAAACCAGGAAGATTATTTAATAAATGAATAATGCGCCCGATGGACCACTCATCAACTCGAGAAAATTATCTTTTAATTAATTCGTTAACCGGTAGAGTCATTAGAGAATGCATTCCGTCAAAATTGACACTATACCAGATAAACCTGTAGGTATAAAAACATTTATTTTCTGTAAATATTCATTTAAAAAGCCCTTTTACCTCTCAGTACTTACCTTAACCCTTCTCAGAAAAGGCTTCCTTATTAGTACAGTACATACCAGAAATAATACAAAACGCACACATATAAACACTTTTAATTTAACATTAGTTACAGTTATCCATGTTTAATCTACATCAGCACAAAATCCATTGAACTTCACGAGTCCCGTTGCACAGTCATCACCAACAAACGCCGAAAGGGGTACCAAAGGGGGTTCCGTAGTAGCCGTAGGAACCCCGAAATTATTCACCCATAAACCGCCTCCTTGCACTGCCCCATAACCCAGTTTCCCGCCAAAAACACCACAGATAACTTGACAAATAACACAGATTAAAATTATTAGAAACCTCATTTTTTGACCGACCTCATTTGAAACAAGATCTATAATGGGCCTCGAAATATTTGTTTAATAGAGGACCAGAATTAATTTATGCCATCAAATAACGATTTATTTTGTTAAACCACTGCCACAGTGTATCTTAAAGAACAGTAAAACCACTAACTTCGCATTCCGTATTTGTATGCACGATGACAGCGCCCCTAGTGACCACAATTATTGTGGAATCTGTCAAATTAAGTCAACTACATAGATTATTTGTTAACAATTTTCTGATAGTTTTTCAACTAAATTATAACCTCAATTCCTTATAGCTAAATACATTATTTATCGAATTGCTTGTAACTCAGTAAAAATTTCTCGGCAGCACAACGAGTAGTAGAAGTTTTTGACATACAACAAAATAGCAAAATAATAAGCGACTCTACTGCACATTATCATTTTGTAATACTATAAAAACAATTTGCGGTTGAATAATAATGATTATATCACAACTAATATTTACACAAATATGCCGGTTATTTAATCAAATCCTTTATTAGTATAAAACAGAAAATAAAGTTAGCATTTATTACATAGTTCTCGTTGAATGAATATGAAATTATGTTTGTTTTAACATCGCTGAAAATGTTTGTAGAGACCTGCTAGTGCTTATACCTAATAAATTATTCATACATGTATGAATTTACAATTATATACATTAACCAGTAACTTATTATTGTAATAGCATTAAATTGAAACTTAAATTAAAGTCTCCTAAACCGAACCGCGTTCTTCGCTCGTGGCCGCACGGTCAGATCGCATCAATACAAAATGTAGAGACCGATAATGTTATTCATACACGACATCGGCTGCGTTCAAGACCTGGCCGTATGCTGCAGAACGTAGAAAGTGTGTCAAATCCTTATATCGATAAACCACAATGTGTGAACTCGCCGTTACTCTCGTCTCCAGATTATCCAGTGCTCGGTCCGCTAAGCCGCCAAAGTGTTTGCTACCCCTGGCTTACGGTCTTAGGCCTTGGCACACGACAATGTTTTTCATACATGATGCGAGCTGCGTTTACTTTGACCTGACCGCAGAACGCAGCTAGTGTGGCTAAACCTTTATATCGACAAACCACAATGTGTGAACTCGCCGTTATTCTCGTCTCCAGATTATCCAGTGCTCGGTCCGCTAAGCCGCCAAAGTGTTTGCTACCCCTGGCTTACGGTCTTAGGCTTTGGCACACGCCCAAGAGAAAGCTTTCGGTTCAAAGTGAAACTGCTTTATAAGTATACCTTTTTAGGCTGTTTTAAAA